GTTGCGTGTGTGCAAGCCAGGTGCGAAAGACTTCTGGAGCCTTGGAGCGAGCGTCGACGTTGGCGATCCAGACGTGACGTGAGTAGGCGTCAATGAAGGTGAGCGTGTATTTTTTGCCGTTGATGCCGTCGAAGGTGAGGACGATGAAGTCGCTGTACACCTTTTCCAGCTTCTTATAGCGATTAGTGCTTGGTTCCAGAGAGGGGTAGGCGCTGTGGGTGAGCGCGGCTGTGGGGGAGACGATGCAGGTGATCGGGTGTGAGGTGTTGTGTGGTTCTGTGCCATCAGGACGCAATAGTGCTCCCGGAGGAAAAACTTTGGCGCGAAGACAGTTGGCGAGAGTCTGGCGCGAGGGGTGACCAAGTCGCTGGTGCCAGAGGTCGTCTTCAGTGCGGATGCCGGAGATGCGCTTATAGCGAGCGTAATGTTCTGCTGCTTCTGCTTCTGTTTCTTGCGGAATCTGGAGTGGGGGTTCTTCCTCTTCTCCTGGTTCAGCTTCGTTGTCCGGCTCCTCTGCTTCTGCTTCTGTTGCTGTCTCCCCTTTTGCAGGTGCCGTTGTAAGGTAGAGGGCGAGAAAGTCGCGGTCGGGGATGATGTTGAGCGGCGTCCTGGTACCTTCGATGAAGCGAGCGAATGGATCTGGGCGGGAGATTGGACCAAGTGAGTCACGCGGAGGAGTTGGTGGTACATTCCCCTCCTCAATCTCCGACCAGGGATCGCCCCATCGATAAGGTGAACGAGGAGGTGAGCGAACCCGTGGAGGTCGTCTGAGCGGGATGATGACACGGGGAGATTGCTCTCAGCGCTCAGCTTTCATTTCTCGTTCAGCTTCCTCCAATTCCTCTTGCGTATGCTCGCCTTCGTCGGGTTCGGTATTTCCCCATCCTCCTGTGGTAACCATGCCACTGGCGTTGGGTCCCCATCCTTGAACAGTGCCCGAAGCGCCAGTAGCGGATCCCCAGGTTGCGCCTTCTTCTGGTACGTAATCATCATCTCCCCATGCGCCGCGTCGCGCTGATGCTTCGTCCCATCCTTCCGCGATGCGCTCTTTATATAGCTTTTGCTTCTTCTCTGCCTTGGCCTTGTCTCGTTCTTCCTTGACGCTGAGTTCTCCCTTTATGTCAGGATCTTTCCAGGCCGGGTCAATCTCCGTGCGATAGACGTCGCGGGGGTAAGGGCGTGGACGACCTTCTTCGTCGAGAGTCCCAGTGTTGGCTCTGAGGACGAAGTGAAGTGTGTTGGAGCGCGGCGTGGGACGCTCCTGCGGCATTAAGCCGCGTTCGTCGTCGCCTTCACCGAAGATGCGGTGAGCGGTAACTGCAAGTTCCATTTCAGTCATGCTCGTGGGTTCTGCCTCGGCGCTCTCCGCTTCCTGGATTGCTGCATAATCTCTTTCCACTTATTTTGTGCGGCTCGCCGTGGGTGTGTGGCAGGTGGTGCAGAGACCATTGATGTCGGGCTCGTGCAAGTTGATCTCACGAGGGTGAGGACTGCGAGGAATCCACGGCCGTGCGTCTGGATGCTGCCATGACTCCTGGCTCATGAAGGGGAAGTCAAGCGGGATGAGGTCCACGAGCTCATCTGATGAGGCTTGACAGCTCCGTATGTCGAAGTCCAGGACGTAGATGCCGTTGATTGATCGAGCCCGCCCCAGGTACTTGTGTGACTCAGGAGGAGTGTTCGGAGGTGCGTAGGTAAGGAGGAGGTCGCGTGTATCTGGATCCGTGGCGAGCATGACTCCGCAGTCTCGGAGTTGTCCTGCTGATAGTAAGTTGAAGCGGAGATCCGGGACGTAAAGCACGTCGTTGAATGAGATGTGAGTGTTGCTGTCTCGTGCTTGCAGAACCACGATGCCTTGTGCATTGGCGCGCAGTTGCTCATTGTTGGCGACGATCACGTAGGTGGCGGGAGCGCGGCTGAGGTTCGAGACGTATCAAACAGATCCCACCATATGCTGTCCACAGCAGCTATCCAAGTATCAGGTATTGTAGTTGTCGGTGTTGCTTTTGCGCAGGAGCAGCGCGAGTCGCGGAGTCACCAGGGTCGCCTTGTAGCGTCTGTGGAAGAATGGGTCTTCGTCTTCTTTCCATCCCACAGGTACGTAACACTGATTGTCGTGTGGCGGGCTTTCCCGCAGTATTATTGGTAGATGCCAATCTTGCTCGTCTTCATCATACTGGTAGTAGTGGTCTTCTGTGAGGGGATTATTCCATCCCTCTTCTAGTTCAATCAGCTCTCCGGGGTTCGTCCTCTTCGTCTGGTTCAGCAGTCCGATGTCGTCGCGTCGCCATATTCGAGATAAGGTTTCTAGAAGCTCCTGATTGAGGTCCTTATGGCTGCTGATGTTGATGCTGTGCAGGGGGACGAGAGGTCTAATGTTGAGGCTGAGAATGACGAGCGTCTTGTCGGCCGACCCATTTGTTGTGGTGAGTGGAATTCGGGTGGCGATAGTTGGATCGGGATTTGCATCGATCCGTTGAGTGTCCGAAGACTTTGCATATTTTGCAATAGTGGCGCCTTGGTTGTCGTCGCTCTTCACGGTTGTCTGCGTAGAAGGCGAGGCGCTCTCGGCGCGGCGCGGAGCTTGTTCTGCTCGAGTCCATGTTCTGCTGTTCAGTCAGGAGTGCGGCGCATAGCGCGGCTTCTAAGAGGATTCCTCGCTGTCGGAGTAGCGCTTTACAGGGCTTCCACTCTGGCCCGAGTCCTTGAAGGACTATATTGACGAAGATTTCTTCCGAGATTGCGTGCTTCGTGATCTGGTCACGGATGTTCCGACAGCGGTTAATATAAGAATTCGCTTTCTCCCTGTGCCCCATCTTTGTCTCCATGAGTTGCTGTAGGAGCCTGCTGGCGGTAACCGAATCCTTCGCCTGCTCGCGGTAACCGAATCCTCAACGAGGTGCTTCCAGGCTTTCAAGGCTGGAGCGGCGCTCTCTTTGTAGGAGCAAATGCTGAGTTGTTCCGCAAGCGTCATATTTCGTAGCAGCACAATGTATGCCATGAGGGACTCGCTGTAGTACTGAGCCCTGGCGTCGTCGGTGTCGTCCACCGGTTTAGGGTAGGAGCCGTCGAAGGAATGGTATATCTGCGCTGTCTGTAGGAGGAGCTCAAGCTCGAAACTCTATGTATAGAAGTCCTTGCCGTCAAAAGCGGCGGTAGTCTTAAATTTTGAAACGCTGAGAAAGCGTGCTTGCGCAGAGTTGATGACTTCATCACTTGGACAGGGGGCGGTTGTTGTTGATATGTCTGCGTCAAGGGAGAAGGTTTGTGCGGCGGTATCGCGGCTTTTCGCAGCCGGTTGTCCAGGTTGAGCTGATTGGGAAGATGTTCCCGCATCGCCTTTGCGCAATTCTTGGAGTTCTTTCTCCATAGTTGAGAGTCGAGCGAATGACTGCTCGAGTGCGGCAGTGCCGATCGTGGTTGTTGCCTCATTTGTCGTAGTCAGGTTGGTTTGTCCTTCTGCCGTCAGATTTGCTTGGCCTCCGGATCCTGCGGCCATCTTGGTCTTGGAGCGTGTGCTGCTCGCCAGATTTGGGTTTGGCGAATTTTACGGAAGTGACGTTGAGAAGAATCCCTGAGTAGCTCTCATACCATGTTACAATCCCAAATGGGACTTAGCGAAGGATCGCTCAGGGTTGATCGCAGAATAGTATTGCAGCGGAAGTAGTGAACTCAGGTTAGAGTGAATGTAAATGACTGAGATTGATAATAGCATGCATACATCGAGTTTATGTAGGAATACAAGGGAATACGAAAAGACCTAGACTAGCCATGTACTCTAAGGGGTACATTCCCTTATTGCAGCGAATTCAAACCGTGCGGCGCGGGAACCGGTTTCAAACCTGTTCCCGCTCTTTTCATTTCAAATGTTTCTGCCTGCATCGGTCTTGGTCAGACAGTTGTTGCGTCGCTTCGACTCTTCTGACTCCTCGACTTCGTACTCGGTAGAGTCGGCTCCTGCAGCATAGAGGAATGCCTTCTCACATAACTTCATATCGTAACAGAACAGTATGCCATACTCCAAATAATGCAGAGTTGAGTCTGAACCAGTGCACACATCAAGACAAAACTTAATAACAAAATAGAAATGACAATGTGACTCGATACATAAGAGATTTGTAGCCTATCCCAAGTTAGGTAACACGTGTCCGCTAACACATACATGCAGAGTAACCCATAGGAGATAGATAGTGGTAATGCACGCGTTCGCGTTCAACCTGTGTGAGGAGATACCGCAGGTATCAGCTGATTAACGATGTAGAGGGGATGTGACAGAACAGAGTGACTGAGCTTGTATGACTGCTACGTTTCCTTCCTGGGGTTATGTCAGATAACCTAGTTTATTTGCCAACAAGAAACTCCATACAGTCTGAAATCTCCTTGTTTTGTTAGGTCAACCTATACCAAAGTCTGGAAAAGCTTCGCACGATTGAAACCGGCGAATACGCACCACCTTGTTGAATGACACCTGCTTCTTCAGTCTGCCGCTCCCTCCCAACCCACCACTCCCACTCCCACACCCACTCCCACTACCACTCCCACACCCACTCCCACACCCACTCCCACTCCCACACCCACTCCCACACCCACTCCCACACCCACTCCCACTCCCACTCCCACTCCCACTCCCACTCCCACCACCATCCGCCATTGACAAACACGATTTGACAGGGATCTTGGGAGGAAATGGGCTTTCCGTGTCTGCTGTCTCACCTCCTGCCGCCAGCATTACTCCCGACCTGACAGGGCTCTTTAGCTGCGACACAAGAGGCCTCCTCCTGTCAACCCCTCCAGAGCTCCTTACCTGTATAGCAGACTGTGTGCTTTCTAGAGGGAATAACAGCCTACCAGGACTTCTGGTCTGTGTGCCTTTTAAGGGGATGCAGTCATCACTCTGCGACCTTGCAAAGTGCCGCGTGTGCGGGTCAATACTTATCAAGTGGTGTGCATTTTGGTGCATCTTTGAACATTGCTGTGCTCTTTGCTCCCCTCCTGGAATGTCAACAGAGTTCGAGGCTCTGATGGATGAAGAGGGGGAGAGTTTGATGGAGGAAGAGGGGGAAAGCTTGGGGGAACGAGTGGGGAAGCGCGGGGGCTTGGATGGGGAGACGGAAGAGGGAATGGGGGTGGTCATGTTGAGGTTGGGGTTGGGGGAGGAGATAGGGAGGGTGGGTGAGGAGGTGGGGAGGGCGGGGCAGGGGAAAGTGGGGGAATGGCAGGGAGAGGAAGGGTACTGGGAGGAGGAGTCTGGCGAGTCTGGTTGACATGGGTGTATGGTAAGGGGAGGAGGGCGGGGGAAATGGGAAGGGGAAGGCTTGTGTGGGCAGGTTGGTGTTGTGCTGCCAACGAACGATTCTGGAGCGTTCCTAGTAGGCGATTGGTTCTTCCTGTCCAAGCCTCCCCGCCTCCCCACTCGTTCCCCCACAAACTGCACCTTGGCAGGAACTCCCCTTGCTGCGCCTTCTGCGCCTTGTGCGCCTTCCCGCTGCACTGGCCGCGCCGTCACGGCTCCCTCGTCGTTATCGTTACCATCGTCTTCGTCACAGTCGCCCTCGTCATAGTTGAGATGGTTATCGTGACGGACGGTTGTGTCGCGGACAAGAGTAGTAGCTGCAGAGCCGCGGGCATTCGTGAAGCGAGGCGAGTCGGAACGACCTCCGGAGGAAGGGGGTGAGGCGGAGAAAGCACGAGGGGACGTGGCGGGGAACGCGCGAGGCGCGCCGCGTTCTACAGTGGACCATGTTCTGCGGACGGCGCGGTTGCTCTGAGGCGCGGCGCGACTATAACCATACCCGTACATGCTAGAGCCTGCCCCTTCAAGAACTTCAAAATCCTCGATTTCTTCGGTATTCTCGAGACTCTCGAAATTCCCGAGATTCGCGAGATTTTCGAAGGTCACAAAGTCGCGTTCTGTGGGCTGCTCTGCGGGCTGCGCGACGGTTGTGCGACGGCGGCGGACCGGGGGTACGCTGCCCGTGGCCCGTGCGGTGATGAGGCGACGAGGTGGCGAGGAGGCGGGCGAGTCGCGGTGACGAGACGAGGTGACGGGTCAGTCGAGATCGAGGGGAGGGCGCTTGACGAGGCGACGGCGACGCAGGTGGATGGGGCGAATGGGGCGCATGGGGCGGATAGCGAGATGAAGGTGCCGCGGCGGCAAAACGAGGCGAGGCGGAAGAGGTGTTGGCGGGAAAAGAAAGCTGTTGCTGTTCCCGCTTTTGCCGAGATGCTTGTGCTGCTGCTTTACCATCCGCCCCTTCGAACAATGAAAGCTCCCCTCCTCCAACTCCTCCGCCTCCCCCCTGCTCTCCCCATCCCCCTCCCGCTTCCCCTTTCTCCTCCCCTGTTCCCCACTCTCCCCATCCCTCTCCGCCGTCGGTGTTTTCTGTCCTGCCATTGGTACCGTCGCCGGCGCCGCGTCGCTCATCCAAGTGCGACGTCGACCGCGACCGGCGGAAGCGGAAATGGTAAGCGGAAGCCCCACGCACAGGCGGTCGAGCACCTGTGGCGGAACCTGGGCGAACACCTGTGGCGGAACCCGGTCGAACGCCCGTGGCGGAACCTGGTCGAACACTGTTCGAACCCGGTCGAACCTGGGTGACACCCATGGCGGAACCCTGTCGAACACCTGTGGCGGAACCCGCGGCGCTTATCTTCCGCGCACCCGGAGCGATTTTCGCGCGGCGCGGGCTGAAGAGGCGGAAACACCCGCCGACGTCCGCGCCGGCGTTGCTGTCGTCAGACCGGTAACCGCTGGCGGCGCCGCATTTCCCGACGACGGCGCTGCTTCCGCGGCGGCGGCGATGCTTTCCGTGACCGCCCTTTGCGCCATTGCCGCCCGAGATTGCGCGTGCGTCTTTCTTGTCACTTGCGCCTTTCTTAACGCTTGCGCCTTCTGCAGCTGAGCATCCGCTGCGCGCAGGCTTCGCGGAAGCCGCCACCGCCGCCGCATCGTCGCGCCACTGCGCGTCCATCTCGAGCGACGGCGCGGCTTTCCGCCGAACAACTTCCGCGTGCGGGCTGCGCACGGCGGAAAAACTGGCTCCGCGGGGGGTTTCCACCGGAATCACAAGATCTGCGAGGTCGTACCGATTAGTAGCAGCAGTAAGAACGTGATTGTGGCTGCTACTACCAGTAGGCTCGTTATCGTGGCTATTAGCAGCAGGTACTACTAGCACGAGTCTGCGCGGTTTTTGTCGAACGACGTTCCCAGCCATGACGATCCGTTCTTCCCGCCCGGTATTGTTTTCCCTAGTAGCTCCCGGCGCCGGTAGTAGCAGCACCGCTCGAAGAAGTGAAAAAAGTTCAACGCTTGAGCGTCTCCGTGACGCGCATATCACGGGGCCGTGCAACGGCTACATGAGCTGTTTACGAAGTCAGAAGCTTGAGGCACCTCGCGTGACGGGAGGAGAGGAAGACTCGGGCCAGTGCGCGAAATATGGAGGTTTCCGTTGCTCGGTATTACTACTCTAGCAGCACCAAGCCAGATCCGCCTGGAAGTCCCACGATGAATGGTATGCTGAAGCAACTGGAGGGTATTTTTAGTCTACGGTGACAACAAATATTCCGAGTAAATGCGCCGGAAGTGCCCCCCGTTCGGTCGGTCGGTGTCATGGGAGCTGGACGCCCGTCCGTCGTTGACAGTTGCCGTTGACATTGAGGCACGGCGACGGGCTGTAGGGTAAAACCCTAGGCTAACGGTGTGGCACTCATCTCATCAGTGGTGAGATGCGATGCGTGGCAGATGCGTTCAACAACAGGAATGTGGCGAAGCACTGGAGGTAAATAGTCGACGGTAATAGATAATGCTCCGAGTAAAGATTCGGGCAGTCCCCGTCGGTTGCTGAAATTGCCACCCGTCGTAACAGCTGCACGCCGCACGCCCGTTGACTATGGCCGTTGACATCGTGGATCGACGACGGGATTGGCCGCTGGCTACGCTAACGAATGGCGTGGCACGGATCTGATGCAATGCGCGGCAGATGCGTTCAAACAAGTACAGCGGCGACTCAAGGAGCCGCACGTCGATCGTTGCAGCTGTTTTAGTTCGCGACAGAGGCTGCGAGACGAGCAGCTTTTTTGCTTCGCATGTAAAGCTGATGAAATGTGAGAGCCATAATGGCAAGGAATGGACTGGTTGTACAGGTCGAGAGGTAAGGAGGGACGGGGAAGATATTTCTGGAAATGCGGCGACAGGGAACACGATAGGGAAGCGAGACGAGATGGAGGTTGTGGGATTTGAGAAAAGTGATACAGTACGATATCGATCGTTTAGGATGGGTGGGAGGTGGCGCTGGAACAAGGGAAATGATAGTGGGGCGGCGAACAAGGGGTGCGGGGAGAGCGGGTGAGGTGTCCAAGGGGCGGCAGGTTGGGGGTGCTGACGGGGAGGTCAGCGCGTTCGTTTACAGTTCATACTATGCGGTTCCTCTTGTTGCATCACGGTTTCAAACGGTGAACGAGTGGTATGAAAAGGCTCTGTGTTACGAGTGCAATTGAGTGAGCGAGCGAGAATTGCACTATCGAAGTACAATGAGCGAAGGCATGAGCGAAGAATATATAGCGAAACTACAGTGGTAACGGTAATGCGTGGAAAGTGGGGTGCGCGACGGGCAGGGCCCAAAATATCAGGGTAAAACGCCCTGATTACCCTGGGGGCCGGCCGCTTTTTCAAGATTACCCTGCCAAAATCAGGATTGCACGATAGTTACCCTTCTGCAAAAAGAGCATGTTCTTTTTTACACTGATTGGATTTATGGTTAGCCTGACGGTGTCAGGGTAGGGTGTAGACTACCCTGATACCGAAACTTCTTTACCGCGGATCAGGCCTTATTCCGCGTGGTGACGAACTGTACCACACTCACACAAACATACATTTCCAAAAAGCCCTGACAGCAAATTCGCCCTGGCACGGTAGTTTCATGCTGTTAGAGCACAGCAAATTCGCCAATCACAGTTTTGCGCTGTCAGAGAGCAGAAAATTTGCCCAATCACAGCGGAATTACCCTGACACAAGAGCAGATTCGCCCTTACACGAGATTCGCCCTGTCAGACCCTGTTGTGAGTGCTGCTTTATTATGTTAGTATAAAAAACTTAGCTAACAAAATAGTAGCCGAAACAGGCTTAGCCTAAAACTTCTCTGCTCAAATCAGGCTATATGTTGATTTACCCTGCTGTAAACAGGGTACGAAAATTTTTACCCTAGGGGTCGGGCTAAGGAGGGGCTGGAACCCTGATTTGTAAGGGTAGGCCTAAACCAATTTTGGGCCCTGGCGACGGGCTTGGCACCGAGGTTGGGAAATGCCGAGGCGGAGGTCCGGAGCGCGGGTTACCAATCGAATCGTGCGGTTGGGTCGCGTCGTGAATAGCGGCGGGAATAGTGTCGAGGCGAATGTCGCGAGTGGTAACGGTTTACTGTTGGGTGCTGTTGGCGGGGACAGTGGTGTACGCGCTGAGCAGGGACGCGAAGTAAGGAAAATGAGTTTTCCTTACACTTACCCCCCACCCTTAAAGGAGGCCCTCCTTACGAAAGCGCGTGGACATTCCTGAAATTTCGCCTGCGCAGATACTCTGTGAGGACGGGGTGGTTTTCGACTCTGTCCAGGGGAACCCAGTTGTCCTCGGTGGGTGTACGGTCTTTCCAGCGGATCAGGAACTCGATCCTTCGAGCTCCTCGTGGGTCACGAACTCTGTGGCTCAGAATTTTCTCGGGTGTGATGATTGGTTCAGTCGGCGGTCGTGTCATGCTGGCTGGGCGATTGCGTGGCAGTTGGTTTGTGGATGGTATGTAGGGGCGAAGTAGGCTGACCTGGAAGGATGGGCTGACGTACCAGTCAGCGGGGAGGAGGAGGTGGGCGGTGACGGGTGTAATCACGTGGCTGATGCGGAATGGTCCACAGTATCGAGGGCAGACTTTTGGGGTGATGGGCAGGCGGAGATTCCGGGTGTCAAGTAGAACTAGGTCGTCGGGCTGGTAAGTGACAGGTCGGTGGTGGCGGTCGGCGTTGCGTTTAGCGATGATGTTCGATTTTTTATTTGCGTCCGCTGCCCGGGTCCGTGCTGCTTGTAAAATTTCGGCGAACTGTTGCGCTCGTGGCACCGGGTTGTCGGGATTCGGGGTCATGGGTACTGTCGGGTCTTGTCCGCAGTTCAGGTAAAACGGTGTCGTGGCGGAAGGTGAGTTGTTGTACGCCAACTCGATGAGTGGCAGTTGCTGTTCCCATGTGGTTAGGTCGTCGCACGTGGCTCGAATGAGTTGTTCCATGGTCTGATTTGTCCTCTTTGTCTGTCCGTCGGTCTTGGGGTGGTACGAAGAACTGAACTGTAGTCGCGTGCCGAACTGCTGCCACAGGTTCCGCCAGAAGTTGCTGGTGAATTTCGTATTTCGGTTGCTGATGATCGCTGCTGGTATCCCGTGTAGTCGAACGACGGTGGAGATGAAGAGGCGTGTGTGAAGAAAGATGAATGAATTTACTAGGAATGTGTGGGGTACAAGTATGAAACCCTAGAATATCAATACCCCCTTTTGTCTACCCCACTACAGCCTACATAGGCTATATCATATATGTCTGACACACCCCCATAGGCAAAGTGGGGGAGAACAAGGGGTCACACGACCAGTCAAGCAAAGCAAGCTCAGGGTGGATCACAACGTCACCACACATTCCGAGCACCGGTTCAAGGCCACAAGGCCAGTTCACATGCAAGATTATATATATAAAGGTAAACAAGCAAGTGCAGGTATATATAGATCACAGTACAAGCAAGGTCAAGAAGTGAGCAAGTGAGGCCAAGTAGGCACAAGACCTAGCATAGTACAAAAGCGCTGATGATCACAAGACTGAAGTGCCTTGGTAAAGATATCAGCAGTGTTGGCCCGAGAGGCCACATAAGCAAGGCGCAACTGACCACGCTGCTGCAGCTCACGAGCAAGGAAGTAGCGAAGAGTAATGTGCTTCGTTCTGTGCTCCAGTCTGTGCTCCCGACACAAGGCCAGCATGGCCTTGTTGTCTGCGTACAGAACTGGAGGAGAACGAGGCGGCTCTCCTAGGTCAGTCAGCAGGTAGGTGAGCCAGCGTAACTCCTGTGCAGCCATGGCCTCTGCGTAGATCTCAGCCTCACAGCTGGAGCCGAGAACAGAAGACGAGCAGGTAGACCACCACAAAACAGAGCAGGAACCAAGGCTGAAGGTGTAACCCTGTGACGACCGCTGCGTAGCCTGGTCGTCAGCCCAAGAAGCGTCTGCGTGACCAGTGAGGACCACTGGACTCCGCCCTCCAAGCACAAGCCCCATGCCCGACGTACTGCACAAGTAGCGCAACACCCTCTTCGCTGCAGCCATGTGCTCTGGTCGGTGTCTCCCAGGAGCAACATAGCGTGCCAAGATGCTAAGAGGGTATCCCAGGTCAGGTCGAGTGCAGGTCATCAGGTACATGAGGCAGCCAACAAGCTCTGGGTACGGGCCACTCGGCTCTACGGACATCCGAAGGCAGAGCTGAGAGCGAGTGGCGAGTAGACAGAGGAGTGGCCTGAGGCGAGGAGTACGTGAAGTCGAAGCGCTGAAGGACCTGCTGCACCATGTGTGACTGAGTCAAGGTAATGGTGCGCCGTGCTCTGTCCCGGGTGATCTGCAAGCCAAGGTAGCTGCACAGTTCACCCAGGTCTGTGCACGTGTGTCTCTTCTGCAGCTCGGACTTCACGTGGGCGAGTCCAGCAGTGTCAGCTGTGGCAAAGACCAAGTCGTCGACGTACACGAGGATGTAGAACGGCGGCAAGGAGGTGTCGGTGCGTAGAAACAGCGACGGGTCGGCAGTAGAAGGAGCAAAGCCAAGAGCCGCAAGTGTAGTCCTCAGTGTGTTGTGCCACTCACGGGGCGCCTGGCGGAGACCGTAGACTGGCCGCCGGAGGATCCACTGGGTACCAGGAGGAAACAACCCAGTGAAGCCAGGTGGGCGGCGCAGCCAGATCTCCTTGTGCAGGCTGCCCTGTAGGAAAGCAGTGCCGAAGTCAAGAGAGTGAAGCTCGTAGTCGCGCTGAGCGGCTATGTGCAGCAGCACCCGAAGAGTGGTCATCTTCGGGGTGGGAGAGAAGGTCTGAAAGTAGTCAACTCCCTGCCGCTGACTGAAGCCTCGAGCCACGTAACGCGCCTTGAAGAAAGGCGGAGAACCCGGCGGCCGCTTCACCCTGAAAATCCACATGCCACTGACGATGTTCGCC